AAGTTAGACGCCGTAGGGTAGCCCGTAGGAAAACCTAAAACAAACAAAATCTTGAGGCCTGAAACAAACAGTATAGCGATTCTCCGGAGTATTTATCTCCGAAGTTCGCCAGTAGCCCGGGTGGGGAGTTCCACTGAGCCCAAACAATAGTCTCGTGCCTACAGACGCTTGGTGAATTTTATACTTTAAATGCGGAGCTTACTAGGATTGATATGCGATGGCGGAGTTATCTAGTTTCGACGAGTCAGGCCTATTGGCAAAGCTAGGATTGATTGTAGACGCTAAGTCCGACGCGAAGGGACTCCGAGGGTCACTGAGACGGTAATTCTGGTACGCTGAGAGGGTGAAGTACAAAACTTGCATTTTCCACTACGCTCCATACATTTTTATGCTATTGGAATGGTTTTGCGTCCACCCGGAGTTAAATAACGAATATGCTCCGCATCCCACACAATTACTCAGCCTTTGCCCACCGCTATACCATGTCCCATACGATCCTGCCGTGTTTCCACGTGCTCGTCCTAGGTCCTAGAGGTAGCCTCAACGCGTCAATGCTCGCTTGAAGTGCCTCATCACGCGGTACTGCAGGCTGATCACGTGCGGATTAGCTCCGGCCGCTTGCTGACTGATACGTTCCGTCCGGCCGTCGATTTACGTCCGCTGACTCGGTCGCTTTGACGGAAACAAAGGGGCATGATGACTGGGGAGTGGTAATACCAATGACTCACTGCGACGCGGACCTCCGCCGTTCCCGGAGATAATTAGTCACAAAGGTATTCTTCCGGGTGACTTCGGAGCGTCTGGCTGCGGAGATAAATCATATCGGTGATCTGCACCTGCCTTGAGGACGTTAGAAGGTCCGGAATTAAATCCAGAACCCTTCGTCGGTTACTTGTAGCGTACGAGGTTCGACAGGTGGTGTCGAATAAACTTTGGAGGGGATGTATGATGTGTCAAATTCACAACTTCGGGGGTCAGAAGATCCTGAGGCTTATCACTGTGGTGATAAGCCTCAGGATCTTCTGACCCCCGAAAACGTGGACTCAGCACATCGTACAAGCCCTCCGGAGCTTATTCGACACATCGCTCACACACCTCTAGGCTTCTATGGACTCTAAAGAATTGCTCTATTTAGCTTCGGACTTCCTAGCATCCTCGAGGCGTACACGGGCCCATTCCGCAATTTATCTCTGCGAACAGGAGCTCCGGAGCGACTTAACCAATGCGACTTCTAGATGAATTAGCTCCGGGGCCCGCGAACATTTCTATCGAGGGGTGTCGTCCTCATGCCCACCCTCCAGCACTCACTCCCCCTCGTTTCCATCAAAATACCGAAGGTGCGGACGTATATGAGTCATCATGAGGTCAGCATCAGTCAGCAAGCGGCCGGAGGTAATTAGCATGTGACCGGCGCGTCGCACGAAGTGATGGGATCGCTTGGGGCAGGTGGCAGAGCGTCGAGGCGGCCTATAGGGGCTGGGACGAGCAAGTGGCAGCGCAAGGGAGTCGTATGGTGTATGGTATAATGGAGGCAAGTGCTGAGCAATCCTGTGGGTAGCGGCGTTTATTTGTTATTTATCTCCGGACGGTTGTAAAGCCATTCCTGTAGTATAAATTGTACAAAGTAGTGTACAGAAAAACAAGTTTTGCACTTCACCATCTCAGAGAATTAGCGTTACGATCTCAGCGACCCTCGAAGTTCGAAAGCATCGAACTTAGTGAATTATAAACGATCCTAGCTTTGCCAATAGGATTGACTCATCGAGTGATTTATCTCCACCGTTGGTTTAATTATCTCTGGTGCGTCCTACATAGCAAAATAAAATTAACCAAGTCTCTCTAGCAATTTCTACCCCCGCGAGCACGATCCTACGACAGATGTTGTTGCTTGCAACTTTGATTGCGACTCTTCGGAGATAAATACTCTGGAGCGTCAACTAGCATTTGTTTTTAGGCGTCAAAGTATTTGTTTTATTTTTCTAGGTCTTCCTACGGACTACCCTATGACGTCTTACTCCTCCTTCCCCCTCAAACTATTAAAATACCCCTCAGTTGTCTCGGACCACCTCCACCCATATCACAGGGTCTAGGTTTATTTCTTTTGGTCCTTGGTGATTGTTGTGTGTCAGTGCATATCAGCGTATAAGATTGAGGACGATTGCGATGAAGAGCTTCCTGCTGATGCTGTCAAACAGCTCATGCCTACTAGGCAACAGTGTCACCATCTTTGTTGAAGATTGCAATGCAACTTCACAGCCAAATACGAGGTGTCCAACAGAGAACAGGGAAAATGGTTTTGCAGACATATGGAGGCGGGCGTAATTCACAGCTTAGCAGATGATCTCTGAGACTTTCTCTGGCGACGATAGATCTGGTCCTTTCGATGAAGAGTACTTGATGTCTCCAAAGGCCACCCTGTGTCTCCACAGCCTTGATGGTTCTGCGGGGCAGGTCCCGATGATACTAATGTCCAGTTTGACGGATGGGAAGCCAAGCGTGTGGTATTCATCAGGCAACAGAACTTCGTCTTTACTGATACACTCGCATTTTCATGTTCGTGTGAGGTCGTTGCTCTGGTTCAATGAATTGAAGGAGGAGATATAATAAAAGATGTGCAACTTGGGAAATGGTAGATTCAGGGAGTTGTGAGTTGCATGAAGCTGTATATCTCACCAAGGGTCCATACATCTTCTTCTTCCTTGTGGCTTTGTCACCTTTCCCATTTGTTAGGGATTGAAGAGCCGCCATATCATCCGCGTTGCAAGCATGGAAAGCCGCACAACATGCATCCAAGAACTTCGCTTCCTGGCTGTCTGCCTCTTGGTAGATATCAAGCTTGAGACATCTGAAGACTCAAGGGTCATCAAAAACTTGTTTTCCCCTCAGCTCCTCCTTCATAAGAGCAGTGCTCACGGGATCAGTGCTGCTAGGGTGTGGCGCCAAGTAATTTTCATAAGAGCCAAGTGTGGATTTAGGGGAGGAGAATTGGCATATTGCAATAGATGGCAATATCAAGCTTGACTGATCTTTGATGCTCCATCACTTTGTATATAAGTTCCAGAGCTCAGTTCAAAAAAGTAGATATCCCAGCCGCCTGGTCTGAGCCGGGATTTCGGGTTTGCACCTCCACTGGAGATGGTCCCGGAAGTAGATGTATTGCTATCCTTTTCACTTCAGACTGCAAGTGGTCATACTCTCAGTATACGGTTCTGGTAATGGAAGGGCTGCACACACCCGGGGAAGCTACTTATGTAAAAATTGTATGTTCGTGACCCCAAAGGATTTCTGCCTCGAGCTGCAACGTAAATCAATATAAGGAATAGAGTCAGAAGAGAGGCATTTGCTCACCGGGCATGAAGGAAGGTGAGCATCGGAAGACTTCATTGCCTTACGAATGACAAAGAGCACTGCAAGGGCCGGAGTGAGCAGCAGCAAAACCTTCAACAGCTTTTCTGCGAGAGAACTGATGTCGGGCAGCGATACTGCAAACATAGCGAAGTTTCTCCAGCAAGTGGAAAGAGGAGCAGGAAGACGTGCAGTCTGACCGACACGGAGAGGCTATACATGAGTAGCAAGTTTATCAGGCCTACGCCAGTGCAGGCCATTACCTGATCATCAACAATGAAGTTCTCAAGCAAAAATCCCTCCCAATTGTATGTTGAAAGATCAGCAATAAGCAATCATCACACACAGCCAAGAGGAAGTGTTTCTCTACGAGTTTAACACACAAGCTTGCGGTAGGGGAGGCGGCGCCGCGGCGAAGCTGCGAGGCGGGAATCACGAGCCTGATCAGTCAATGCATAACGTCCAACACTGACGTACCACTGCAAAATCGGGCTTGATCATGCCCATGGATAACGTGGAAGGTGTCAATCCAAAGTTTCCAGGAGAACATACCGCAGTAAGTAGCACTGTTACCTCGAAGATGAGGATTGGCCTTCGGCATTTCGTAAGGAGCCCCGCGCCCACTCGAGCTCCAGCGAGGGAACCCTGTTGATAGTGGGATTGATATGCCGTGAATACGGCCGCATCTTGCCAGATCTTGTCAGTAGAGGATTGCGGTCACCGATGGGGATGGTCATGAAACTCACACGACCGGGATGCAGCATGTAAAGGTGTCGCGTCACGCGCTGGAACTGGCGAACGACATCTTCTAGGGTTATACAATTAATCTCCAAAACCGGGTTCGTAGCGGCCTCCTATGCAGAATACGGGACTTCGTGCATCCTGAATTCACGGTATGGTAGTACATGCAATACATGGTACACTGATGACAAACTATTGCGCAGCCTTCGTCTTGCTTCTCTTGCCGACCTGGGCCTGGAAACCGGTTTTGATAGGGTTGACAGACCGTCTTGACCCACATGACTCGCAGGTCATAAAGAAGATACGGTTCTCCTTCGTCAACAGCGTATCGAAAGACTTGCATGTCTTGCATGTGACGTACTCCACTAGAAAAGCGAGGTGAGGGGGTATTCACCCGGTCCTGAGAGGAACTACCCACCGATGTATCGACGCAAGACGTTCTCCAGCTGTTTTTGCTGGAAACGACCTTTAATGACGAGCCGACCTTGCCCGTCCACGGACCCAGTGGTACCCATTTCGGAGAACAGGAACTGGATGACGTGCTCCGGCTGTCGATGCATACGCCGGCAGATGTCAGTGATGTTAGTGAAAATCGTCTTCTTGTTGCCTTCACGTGCCAGCGATGGCGGCACAATAACGTATCGCTTGCCAGTGGATGTGAGAAGGGCTGGGTTAGATGCGTGAAGAGAGGCGTAGAAACGTTGGAGCAGCTATAATCGTGTTAGCCAAGTCTTACGAGGATTAACCAAGTGCAATAACGTACTTCTTGATACGTGTAGTCCCGATCACTCTTCAGCCACGCTTCATTTCCAGCGTCTAACCCTGTCGGGGCCTCTGTAGTATTGGCGAAGACATTCTCGCCCAATTCAGATTCATCGACGTTAAGTAGATGTTCTCCATCTTGCTCCGCCTCCTCATCGCCGTCCTCCTTCTTCGATTCAGCCTGCAGTTCCTTCTCGAATGCATCAAGGTCAAAGGCAGCCTTCTTCTTCGAGGATTTCTTTTTCTTCTTGAGGTCTGAGAAATCCAAGTCTTCTGTGGCGGCGGGAGCGGTGGTAATCGGTGTAGACGTGCCAGACCCCTCATCCTACAGTTGCAAAATATATGATCAATATAAGCACATCACTTCGAACATTGCACATACCCCGTCGAGGTCGAGAGGGATCTCCTTCTTCTTTTTCTTCTTCTTCTTCAAATCACCGAACATAGCGCTCGGATCCTCTTCCTCGCCGTCGGCAGAGGCGTCATTCTGCTTCAGCTGCTCATGCATCGTCTTCGACCCCATGTCTACGGACTCCCCGTCCACGGTGCGGTCCTCGATCACATCTGGTGCCGGCGTCGTAGGATCAGCATCTGCGCCTAACGGATCCTCAGAGAACGCGACAGTCTTCTTCTTAGGCTTTTTCTTCTTTAACGAGGGATCGAACAGCGGCTCTTCTGAAGCCATCTTTACAGTCCAATATACAAAGCGACGGACGAGAACGTCGAGGAGTACTGCAAAGGCGTATCTGACTCAGTTATACACGCGCCGACGATGTGCGGCCTGCTTTGACGCGGAGTTGCAATTGTCTCCGGCTATTCCCGTACCCGTACGCTCGCTCAACGTCGCGAACGACGTAAACCGCACATCCTCCCTCAGTGCATCCCTTGTCGCCATGCTTGCTCGGCGGACGCTGGCTCGTGTCGGTTCCCAGCCTTCGGTGCTGGGAGCAGCCCCCACAAATGCTCGTAACATGGCGACGCTCCGTGAGCTTGAGCTGCGTCTCAAGTCCGTCAGGAATATTGAGAAAATCACGAAGGTGGGCAAGTCCGCAGGATGTTCAGGCTTGTGTTCACAGTAAACGTGTCCGATTTTCTTAGTCGATGAAAATGATTGCGTCTACAAAATTGGCGAAGGCTCAGCGTGCCATGACTCAAGGGAAGGAGTACGGTGCAGCGAACGCCGGTATGTCATCATGCGCCGAATAGTGCTCTCTTTAATAGGTAGTCTCTCCCAGAGCTGTTCCAGAATGCTCCTACTGAGACACCGGCCAAGCGCAAACTCTTCATTGTCGTCTCGTCTGACAAGGGTTTGTGCGGTGGTGTCCACTCCTCCGTCTCAAAGGCCACCAGGCGTGTGTTCGCCGAGCAGCAGGAGATTGACCCCGAGTCCCCCATCACGATTATCGGCGACAAGTCCAAGGCCCAGCTCTCCCGTGCCCTTCCCAAGAACGTCGCCCTCACGTTCAACCAGATCGGCCGTGACGTCCCGACCTTCGCCGATGCTGCTGGCGTCGCGGACTTGATCATCAAGTCCGGCGTGAAGTACGATAGCATCACCATCGTTTACAACAAGTTCATCTCTGCGATCTCGTACGAGGCTGCCACTCTGGAGGTTTTAACCGAGAACGCTCTTAAGGAGTCACGTAAGCATCAGTTACCAGCTGAACCGACGCGCTGTCTCATTTCAGTTAAGCGGGTTTCAAGGCATACGAGATGGAGGATGACTTCACTAAGGACTTGTCTGAGTTCGCTCTTGCCAACGCTATCTACGCCGCCCTTGTAGAGGGTCACGCATGCGAAATCAGCGCCCGGTACGCGGTCTCGTAAACACTGTGGAGATCTTCCGTACTGACGTAACTCAGTCGAAACGCTATGGACAACGCGTCCAAGAACGCGTCAGACATGATCAACTCCCTCCAGCTGCAGTACAACCGTGGTCGTCAAGCCGCGATTACGAACGAGTTGGTGGACATTATCACTGGTGCGTTATCATGTCAATGGATACTCTACTGCATGCTGATGTCGTTGCAGGTGCGAGTGCGTTGTAGAGGCGCGATTCGCCAAAGCGGGCGTTGTGGGCATCCAAGTACAGACCGTGGATTTTGCTAGCGAGTCCGGGCCCTGTACTGTGGATGCAACTAGAACAATTCATACATTATTCCGCTAATCTATGTTAGCAGACGATGTGGAATGTTCCACACCTGATGCAGACACGACCAGGAACGTGTAAATCTCCTGACTGCTTCATGGGCTTATGATGGCCCGTTTTGACTAACAGACAGGTAGAAGAGGCAGTCGCGACCGCTCTCTTGACAATGACATCTACTATCGCGCACGCGGCAGTAATGAAGCACCGGCATCTGGGAACGACGCGAGTATCCGAACCCAGTCTTCGAGGGAAGAGTTTGGAAGATGATGTATACAAGCACACCAATGCCGGATAAAATGGGCCTCTACAGCAGTCAAGGTGAGGGTACACAGCTATAGCGCTGAGTGTCGAAGGCGTGCAGTCCAAATAATTACGTCAGTGCCGGCAGAGGTCTTCACCGGATACAATGTCTAATTGCTCATAAAAAGGCGATGCTGGATTACGGCGTGCAACACAATGTTCATTTGTTCTTCCGACCTATCACGTTCAAGATGAGACAGACGAGGAGGCAGGCCACAATCAGTCCCATCAATGACCCTGTTGGGTGCACATGTTAGGTTAGGGTTTGTTTCTCCCTACAGGGACTCACCGGCAATCGTGAAGGCGTCGTTGACGCTCTTCAATTTTGCCCAGACTGCTGCGAAAACCAGCACACATACTAGAGGTACGATAACCACAACAAATGTCCTCCGTCTGTCCCATCTTTCAACAAGACGAATTCCGTATCTGGAATCGCGGGTGACATTCCAGGTGAAATGGCAGAGACCGCGGCCTTTCCTTGGATCCTTCAAGCATTGTCGTATGCGACCTATCTCGCAGGCAGGAAGACTTATGGTAGGACTTTGCAAGGTGTGCATTTGAGACATTGACGTATATGAAGCGAATGGCGAGGTTGAGACGTTGGCTTCGCTGTACTTGGCATCTCCGTCAGTCCTCAGATAGGGCGCCGAGAAGCGCGGCCCTAGAGTAGGAACTCCGGTAGTCCACAGGATCCTATCCGCGACACTTGGCAAATTAATCTGGCAAACGAGCAAAGGTCAGTCCCTTGCTCGAGACCTCTTTTTCTTCAAATACTGACCGCTGGTTCGAAGTGGCTACGTCAGGTTATGTCAACTTAGTCATGATACCTACAATGACATTAAAAATACTATTACCTGAGAATCCTCAAAGAGAAGTGTCTCCTCCAGCCACGTAGTCTCTCGTACGCCGCACCGATCTCCTGGAGCAACATTTCATCGTCCCATATAGGGTCTATGTGCATCAGAACGGACTCCATATGTCTCCACACGAAAAGCTCGAAATGAGGCTGCGGGGATGGCAACGAACTTGGAAGAGAATGGGACGGGGCCGCGCGCATCGAGCTGTCCAGGCTGACCGGTGATGGTCGGACCGGCAATGGCGGGGTGACCGCTGCGTCTGGCGCAGGGGCATATCCGCGCGGGGGTGGTGCAGATACGCTTGCGTGTGGTTCCGAGTGTACTGAAGGGCGGCGTGGAGGCTCACTCCGAGGGGGTCTCGGACGTCCTTGAATGGATTGTTGCTGCGGAGAAGAATGCGACGGACGGCGGGGGATCCTGGTCGGATGATGATCGCGGAATTGCGGCTGTTCACATAGCTGTGGGACACTCCCCGCGGAATGAGGGTGTCGAATGGACATGCTGGGCTGCCTAGGCCCAACTAGGCGCTGTTCACTAGTATGGTCGCACAGTCGACCCGACGATCCAGTGGCTCTCTGGATAGCGGGTGGAGGAGGGGCTGGTAGGGACATGTATGCTTGTTGATGGAGACCTTTGAGGCATAAACCGTCACCACTGCTGTCAGTTCGGTCCTATATGCATATGCCATTTTGCGGAACCGAAGAGATGGTTGGAGTGAGCTGTCTCAGATCGCGTTTACGAAACCCGCTAGCGATGTATGCGGCTGAATCATTTGTGTTCTCGCATGATGCCTGGCCGGTGCGTGAATCGCGACCTCAGTCGTAGACTTCGACCAAACTGAGCCACCGCGGCTCGAGGAAGCTGACCCCGCCCCGTGTCTGCATACACCACACCCGCCTCGGGTAGGGGTACAAAACCCGCTGGAAAGGCCACGGGTGCCAGTGGCCTGTGCAGATCGGGCAATGCCAAAGGTGAACACACACGTCCTGCGCTGAAATCGCCGGACATGCAGGAAGTTCAATTCAGGCAAGTCTTTGAACTACATATCATGATTACTTGCGTTGAGTGTCATACAGTCTAAGATACAGTAGATGCTTGTGTTGGTAAGTTACATTGCAGTTATGAGCGAAGTCTACAGTTGTGATACCCGAGAAAGTGGAGAACTCGAAGATGAAAGGCGAAGGCAGTTGCGGAAGCTTATGCTCCCAAAGATCGAAGACGATGATAAAATATGGGGAAATCACAAGCAGCATCACTGCCCGAACCATTCTCCTGCGCTGGCAAGTCGCGAAAAGGCGCCATTCCGCTGCATCAAGGTCTCATAAGGACCGTCCTCGACGATGACACCGTCTTCCACAACCAGAATGCGGTCGCACATCTGCATAAGTGGCAACTTATGGGTCACCATCAGCGTCGTGCGGCCGACTTTCGCACTGCGTATGGTCTCAATCACAACAGCTTGGTTGGCAGGATCCAGGGCAGACGTGCATTCGTCCAAGATGAGGACCTTTGACGGACGTGCGAGGGCTCGAGCGATGGAGATCCGTTGTGCTTGCCCTCCCGAGATGAGCGAGGCGTTCTCTCCGACCATGGTATCATAGCCTTTTGGCAGAGTATTGATAAATTCGTCTACGTTAGCGGCCAGCGCTGCTTGACGAACTTCGTCATCGGATAGTGCGGTGGCGCCGTATGCGATATTGTCCCGGACGGACGCATCGAAGAGGTTGGGATTCTGGCTAACAACGGCGACGTGTTCCCGCAGATGCGACACGTCGATAGAACGTACGTCAGAAGAACCGAGGGTGATCGAACCCACATGAGGTTCGTAGAGACGCTGTAGCAAGGCAGCAATGGTAGATTTGCCCGATCCCGAAGCCCCAACGATCGCAACACATTCGCCTTCTGCCACGGACAGGGAGACATCCTTCAGCACGGGAACGTTGGACCGCTCAGGGTATGAGAAGGCAACGTTCTGGAGAGCAACCCCTCCTTCGATAGCTGGCCGAAGGAGTCCTCGTGATTCATCCGTTTCTGGCGACAGCTGCAAAAGCCGATTGAAGTCGTTGGTGGCATTGACGGACTTGGCAATACGATTCGCTGGGAAGGCCAAAAGACTGGATCAGACACGGCTCACACTGAAAGAGTCCTCGAGACTTACTGAATGACATGAGCTGGGAGCCGAGAGTCACTGTAAAGACGATTAACTGCAGGGTCTCGATCATTTGTAGATATGTGTAGATCCCCTTTGCGATGAGAACAGCGCCTACGTAGAAAAGGAGGGCCTCTGCTAGATAGATCAAGGAACTGGCAACACCGTAAGTGCAGCCTTCCACAAAGGCACCCCGCACGCCAGTACGGAGAGCATCGCCGACCGTCTTTTCAAATTGAAGCTGAAAGACGTTCTCGAAACCCATAGATCGTATACCGCGAATATTTGAGACAACCTATCAGCCGTATTCAGCACAAGAAGCATGTTAGGGAATATCGCGAAACTCACATCGTAGTAGGTCTTCGCAACTTCTTCACGAGCCCGCTTGTTCCTGTATTCAGCCTTCGCGACCAAATTTGTCTGAACGGCCATTGTGATCACGAATACAGGTGCAATTGCAAGGCCGACAAGAGTATATTGCCATCCACGCACAAGTGCCCAGATCAGGCCGACGCTAAGCATCGCTGTGACCACCATGCATTGGGCAATAACGGTGGCGATAAGGCTCCGCGCATCGTCTCCGTCCTTGATCAGCACATTCATAAGGCGAACGGAGCTGTTGTCAGTCTTGTCAAACCACTTCTTGTCCTGCGACAAGACTAGTCCAAGACAAGACTTCCTGATGCGAGTAACCCAGCTCATAGCCAAAGTCTCCATAATGAAGAACTTGAGTCCCATGAATAGACCGTCCGCAGCGGCGATACCGAGAACAATACCGCCGAACATGTTGATTGTCGAGACGTCCCGCGCTCCGGTAGACACCTCAAACAGCAACCGAGACAGCAGGAACGAAAAGACAGGAGTCATTGCTCCACTGAGGAGGGACACCGCAATGCCCAAGAAGAAAACCGGTTTGTAGGGGATAGAGGGGTAGATGGCTCGAATAGTTCGCCATAGAGAAGGTGCCTTCTCTGGTGCAGACGATTCCGGAGGCGTCTCCGATATAGGCCCTTCGACCTTGATCGACTTCAATTGCGCCAGCCGATGTTCATCGCAAAGAGTCCTGACCACCTTCTCTTCGCCGCGTTGTCCGCGGTTCTGGTAAGCCTGCGTACCGCTCCTCTCCAAAGCATGTTTTTCATCCTCGAAATCGTCGTCGATTTCGACCCATGACGTCCGCTTGAAGGTGGGCGATGAGGGCGTGAATTGTAGGCTGAGTCTTCGATTGAGCGCAGCGGGAGGTGCAGGCAGCTCCGGTGCGATTATTACGCTAGACGGTCGTCTCGGCTTGCTCTCCGCCATCTCTTGCGAGAACGCCTCGGGCGGGACAAACCGGCTAACGCGGTAAGCTTCCCTCGAGAGAACAGGCACTTTGGAGGGCTCCATTACAGACTTCCGCGTTAGATCCGCAATCGCATCGAACATCCAGTTCCCCATCGTGATCGGCCGGAGACTAGGCTTCGCGACGCTCATGTGCTTGAGGACCTTCGACTCCTCCACCAGAACGCCTTTCTTCGCTTCATGCTCCTCCAGAATGGCTTCAACCTCCATCTCCCTCTCCTTCCGCATCTCGTCTTCAGCAGTCTCGGTATCCTTCTCCGGTAGACCACCCATAGCGCCCTGCGTTTCGGCCATATCGCGAAATTCTCCGCCCGCAATGCTCTCCAGGTCCGCGCGGTAGCCTTGCTCAACAACGCGGCCATTCTTGAGTACGTACACGAAGTCGTTGGATTCGATCTGTGAAAGGTCGTGCGTGATCACAATTGTAGTTTTGTTCCGCCGCCATCGCTTGATCGCTTCGAATACAAGTAGACGCGAAGTCGCGTCCAGCGCGGACGTAGCTTCATCTATTGCGAACCAGTCAGCAGCGACATCAATAATACTTGCATTGTCAACGTACCGAGAATAAGTACAGACGGGTTCCTCAGGCGAGCCCTAGCAATGGCCAGCCGTTGCTTCTGGCCACCACTCAGATTCGCGCCACCGTTCCCAAGTTTGGTATCATAGCCTTCGGGCAAGTCCCTGACAAACTCGTGCATCAAAGCGACCCGACAGGCTTCCACTACTTCTTCCCTGGTCACCTCCTCGGGTCGTCTCCCAATGAGTCCCATCGCGACATTATCGTGCACGCTCGCATCAAATAAAATACATGTCTGCGAGACAGCGGCAACGTGCTCGCGCAGGAAGGCGTCGTCGAGAAACGCCACGTCCTGGTCATCAAGCTGCACGCTCCCCCTCTGGGGGGCGTACATCCGCAGCAAGAGCTGCGCGACGGTTGACTTGCCAGAGCCGGATCCGCCGACGATAAACGTCGTCTCGTGCGCAGGCAGATACAGCGAGACATCCGACAGCACGGGCATCGTGGGCCGGGAGGGGTACGCAAACGTAACATCGTGCAGCGCAAACTCGCCGTAGCACCGGGCTGGCTTGATCCGCCGCAGGTCGGTCTGGCGCTTCCTCGGGCTGGCGTGCTTGTACGGGGAGAGAGGCGTGTACAGCGTCGACGCGGATTTGAGGGTGACAGGGGCTTCAACAGGCTCCTCGACCAGCCGCATCAACGACGCCATCGCGACCTTGCCCTTGGTCAGCACGACAAGCTGCGGCAGGCACATCTGCAGGTTGCTTGTCGAGATCAGGCACGCCCAGAAGACGGTCATGACGTCGCCCGCGCTTGCAGACCCGTCGCGCACGAGCTTCGCGCCGAACCAGAAGCCCTGGACGAACATCGCCATCATAGTGAACTGCGACAACCCTGAGCTGACCGCCCAGAGGGTGTTGCACCGCTTGGCCGCCGCGCGCATGCGGTCGAGCACGGCGCCGATGGTCTGTAACTCGAATGGCTGAGCGTTGAATGCCTTGACGGTGGCGATGGCCGCCACAGCGCGGTCAACGAGTGTCGCCGCGACGGTCGTCTGTCGGCGCTCCTCGTTGAGGCTCGGGTTCACGAGACCGGTAACAACGCCCTGGATGAGGACGAGTACGGGCACGACAGAAAGGATGACCAGGGTCAGCGCCCACGAGCGGGTAAAAGCTAGGACGAGGGCGGTGATAGTCGTGGTTAGGTGTTGGATAAACATGCCCGAGGCGAGCGAGGACGCCATCCGGACTTCGTCGGTCTCCCTACGAAACCATGAGATTCAATCAAAGCATGAGACAGAGTATACGTACTTGGCGAACTGAGCCATGAGACCACCAGCGCCCACTGGGCCCTGCCCTTCTTCGCCAGCCTGGACAGAGCCTTCGGCACCCATCTTGGTGTCGAACCAGACCATCTCTTTCCTCGTGACGGCTTCGAAAACCTGCTTGCGCAGCGTCATCGCATTCTTCTCGCCAGCCCATATCCAAAGACTGGATGTGATGCTGCTGAGAGCGAGCGCTCCCGCAGCCAGACCGATGAGCTCGATCGCAGCAAGGCCGACGGCCCGGAGCAGCTGGTGCTTTGCAGATTCGGGGGGGTTTGGGGTTTGAGGGTAGGCAGCGAAAGCGTCGAAGTTTTGTCCGATGACAATGGTCATGAAGGGGGCGATACCGCCGGTGACGATGGAAAGGAGGATAGCAGGAAGCACTAGGAGGAGGACGTCGCGTCGGGTGAGGAGAGAGAAAAGAAGGCGAATGGAAGGATTGGGTTGAGAGTAGGCTGGGGTTTCCTGGGCAGCATGGGCATCGAGAGTGAGCGTAGACGCGACATTGAGGTTCGTAGTCGATTCAGGTGATTGTACAAGGATGGGGGCGTTCGCGTTCGTCTTCTCCGCTGCTGCAGCGGTGTCGACAGCAAGGCCAGCTGGCCGACGCATCGTGAAAGGTCGTAGAAGAAGTGGGAGAGAAGGTCAAAGAGGCGATCCTGCGTCCAAGACATGCTTTTGACAATAAAGTGTGCTGGACTCATTGTCTTGCTCCGTGCTTATTGTCTCGGCGCGCGCACAATGGGTGAGTCACGTGCCACAACAAAAAGAAATGTTGAGGACGCACAGCCACTCCTTCCACTTTCGGTATATTCTCGGAGAATCGGAATCACCCGCAGCGAGCTTGCGACGAACAGTCCCAACCACAAAAGAGGTACGGACCAGTCCTTCTGTAGTTTCTTGGAAATCACACGGCCAACAGCAGAATCTGTGCCAATATTGCATGCAGTAAAGCAGAGCACGTCCGGACAGCAGCGCAGGAATATCTGCTAAAAGATGTTAGTACCGAGCAGAAGGAATAACAATGGGTAACATGCCTTGGCTTTAGCATCGGGACGGCCATCACAACTGGAATAGCCAGACAAAGCTTGGGCTAGCCACCCATTGTCCAAACCTGAGGACTAATGGTTTTGGTGAGATATCGACCATGGTTCTAGTCTGGATAGAAAATTGTGATCTGGGTCAGAGAGTGACGGGAGTCGCATTGCTGCCACTACTAAAACAGCCCTGCACAAACCTGTGCCGAGGCTTACCACAAAATTCAGCAGTAAAAATGCGATGTAGGAATCCAATCTAGCTTACTGTCAGGATGGCCGCAATCACGACTAGCACCAACATAGCTGGACAATGACCGGATCATATCTGCTGTTGTTCATGCAAGCAACCGTCCTTGGTGAGCCAAATCGAGAGCTTAGTTCCAGTGGTACTACTAACATTTCCCACCCCGAGATGGTCCTAACCTGAAACCTTCTGACAAGAGTTTGAGTGGTTGCACTCTGGAATACGAGAATCCGAAGCCTGTCCACCAACGTAACGCACCACACAATCGTCGACGGCCGAAAAGACTAGATCGCTCGATAGGTAAGCTACTATGGATTGAAATAAAAAGAAACAGCTATGCTGGATAGCACACATCAGAGCGGGTGAGCAGATTAGTGACTATACCTCACAGACGGAATGATCACTAACACGAGATCAGTTGAAAGGAGATGACCGAGATCAGGATGCACTGAGGATGACCTCCCCTTTATGCGTGCTGCTTCCTTGCTCCACTGGCACAGCTAACACAGCTGCAGATGGAAGTGAATCCGACGGAAGAGCTCACCAGTTTAGCTCACTGATGTATCTGACACTTGTCTCGCCTAAACGGAAGTGTGCATGAACTTGCTACACCGAGAGACAGCTCGCAGAGTATATGCGTCGCACAGGCCGAGTTTCAAGTTTCGTATGCCCGGAAGCCTTGGATCGCAGAGCGCTATTACTCGTGTAAGTCTGCCCTCTTACTCACCGAGCGCGCATATACCCACTCCAGGCTCGTCATTGCAAATGACCGAGCTGTGCTCCGTGCTTCGAATTCAACGATGTACGCGTATCGAAAAGTCTACATTGCTTCAGACAGGGTTGCCTATGTCTTGTAGCAAATATAACGATGAGGAACAGCGCGACGATTGACATTCATCGTCTCTTGCTTGGTTTCCTCTTTGATATGTGAGACGTTGGGCACGAGCTGTGAGCCTCGTAGCCGGTTCAACAGGCCGTTTGCCCTGCAGGCTGCCGCGTAGGACGGCAGAGGTAGAGGATGAGCAATCGGTGTGACGTGACGCGCGCGGTCGCGTCAATTAACGCGTCGCTCGTGACCACGTACACCCGATACCGTCTGTAAGTACACTAGTGATGCGCGCTCGCGCAGAGTTGCTCGCGAAGCGTGACGTGGTGTGGCGCGACACGTCGTCCTGTTATGTGGCATGGCTGGTGCACCATACACACCAACCTTGCATGCGTACGGCTCAACTTACTGTATTTCGTGGGATGTTTTGTGATAGGTAGGGCAAGTAAATAGGTATCCTTGATTCTGGAACCTTTCCAGGCTCAATCCGAGGATATTTAAAGCACTGTAGCAACTTATAGCTGGCCCTTGGTCTTTGTGGGTCCCTCAGCGACCGGGAGTAGAATTTGTACATGTTTGTCGCGGACTTCTGCCCCAGTGAAGAATTGCTATCGCTTCGCTCGCAACTAAATCAAATACTCTAAATCACGGCTAGACATTCGATGCGCTTCCTACTCCCTGAGTTCCAGTTTAGTGATCCCCTGCTCCAAAATCTCGCGGAACTCTCTGTATCCCAACATGATCTCAGGTTGACTGGAGACTTCCGATCTAACAGTGTCGTCCACATAGGGGTTTTTCCCGATGTTCCCCCGTACTTGTGTTCTGTGCACATCTTGAAGGAGAATGAATAACCTCAGGAGGATATTGAAGAAAGGACGTGACATTCCTATCTCCTCCAACTCGAAGTCAGTGCCTGCTTTTTGGGCCCATTCCAGGGGTGCTATGGACACCCTAGCCTTTACGATATCCTTATGGTCAATCTTCCCAAATGCGGCATCGAACGTGTCTTGCCAGTACTTCCGCTTGCTGGTGTCCCACTTCGTCTGCCGTGTTATCTTCATTAGAACAGCGTAACCTAGAACGTAGATGAAAGACTCGATATCATCCGCGATGCCTTGGCTAGGCTGAGCTTGATTTTCATCTATAGCTTTCAATATTCTGAGGGACATGAATTGCAATGTTCCCTGGTGACATGGGTACATATATAAGTAAGGTGCATGCGTGTTGGAGGGGTCTCGCTAACCGTCAAATCTGCGCCACGTTTTGCGGTGGTGTAACCGAAAGTTATCTTCATAGATGTGTCCCAGTCAGTAT